TGGTCACTCACTGGTCACTCAGGGGTCACTCACTGGTCACTCACTGGTCACTCACTGGTCACTCACTGGTCACACTGGTCACTCACTGGTGACACTGGTCACTCACTGGTCACTCAGTGGTCACTCAGTGGTCACTCACTGGTCACTCACTGGTCACTCACTGGTCACTCACTGGCCACTCAGTGGTCACTCACTGGCCACTCACTGGTCACTCACTGGCCACTCACTGGTCACTCACTGGTCACTCACTGGTCACTATCCAGCCAGATGACCAGCATCACCCAGACCGATCCCATCAGCTCAGTGTCCATTCCCAGTCCAGTGTCCCACACTCACTGGTCACTCTGGTCACTCACTGGTCACTCCAGACCAACACTCAGACCGGCCAGCCCATGATCAGTGGGGGTTGGATATTTGGGTCAGTGGTCACTCCCATGGGTCAGTGGTCACTCTGGGGGGTTGGTAGCCACTCTGGTCACTCACTGGGCACACTGGTCACTCACTGGTCATTTGGTCACTCTCCAGCCAGATGACCAGCATCACCCAGACCGATCCCATCAGCACAGTGTCCATTCCCAGTCCAGTGTCCCACACTCACTGGTCACTCCCATGGGTCAGTGGTCACTCTGGGGGGGTTGGTAGCCACACTGGTCACTCACTGGTCATTTGGTCACTCCAGCCAGATGACCAGCATCACCCAGACCGATCCCATCAGCACAGTGTCCATTCCCAGTCCAGTGTCCCACACTCACTGGTCACTCACTGGTCACTCTGGGGGGGTTGGTAGCCACACTGGTCACTCACTGGTCACACTGGTCACTCACTGGTCATACTGGTCACTCCCATGGGTCAGTGGTCACTCTGGGGGGGTTGGTAGCCACACTGGTCACTCACTGGTCACTCACTGGTCACTCAGTGGTCACTCACTGGTCACTCTTGTCCCCAGACCAACACTCAGATGGGTCAGCCCATGATCAATGGGGGTTGGATATTTGGGTCAGTGGTCACTCCCATGGGTCAGTGGTCACTCTGGGGGGGTTGGTAGCCACACTGGTCACTCAGTAGCCACACTGGTCACTCACTGGTCATTTGGTCACTCCAGCCAGATGACCAGCATCACCCAGACCGACATCATCAGCACTCTGCAGTCTCTCAACATGGTCAAGTACTGGAAGGGCCAGCACGTCATCTGCGTCACCCCCAAACTGGTGGAGGAGCACCTCAAGAGCGCCCAGTACAAGAAACCGCCCATCACCGGTCAGTCATTAACGATAATTAATGATAGGGTTAATTAGGGGGGGTAATTAAAGGGGTAATTAATGCTGGAGGGAGGGCGGATTGATGGAATCCCCCCCCATAGTCAGCCCTGAATGGTTCGGTCCAGAAACCCCCCCAATGATCCCCCATTAATGAACCCCCTTAATTTCTGTTAATGAACCCTCTTAATTAATTTCCATTCATGAACTCCCTTAATTAATTTCTGTTAATGAATAAATTTTCATTAATGAATCTCCATTAACCTTTAATTAATCTCAGAAAGACAACGAGTTAATGGAAACGCCCCCATAATCAGCCCTGAATGGTTTGGTCCAGAAACCCCCCTATGAGCCCCATTAATGAGTTTAATTTACATTAATTAACTCCCCTTAATTAGTTTCCATTAATAAATCTCCATTAATTAATCTCCATTAATAAACCCATTAATGAGTGTTAATGAACCTTCAATTAACCTTTAATTAATCCCGGAATGAGGATGAGTTAATGGAAACCCCCCCATAATCAGCCCTGAATGGTTCGGTCCAAAAACCCCCAGTGATCCCCATTAATGAGCCCTCTTTAATCAATTACCATTAATGAACTCCCTTAATTAGTTTCCATTAATGAATCAATTTTCACTGATGAATCCCCCATTAATGAACCCTTAATTAACCTTTAATTAATGCCACAATGAGGGTGAGTTAATGGAAACCCCCCCATAATCGGCCCTGAATGGTTTGGTCCGAAAACCCCCAGTGATCCCCATTAATGAACCCTCTTTAATTAATTACTGTTAATGAACTCCCTTAATTAGTTTCCATTAATGAATCAATTTTCACTGATGAATCCCCCATTAATGAACCCTTAATTAACCTTTAATTAATCCCGCAATGAGGACGAGTTAATGGAACCCCCCCCATAATTGGCCCTGAATGGTTCAGTCCAGAAACCCACAATAATCCCCATTAATTAATTTAATTTACATTAATTAACTCCCCTTAATTAGTTTCCATTAATAAATCTCCCTTGATTAATTTCCATTAATGAATCGCCATTAATAAACCCATTAATGAGTGTTAATGAACTCTTAATTAACCTTTAATTAACCCCAGAGTGAGGGTGAGTTGATGGAATCCCCCCATAGTCAGCCATGAATGGTTCAGTCCAGAAACCCCCCCAGTGATTCCCATTAATGAACCCTCTTAATTAATTTCCATTAATGAATCGCTGTTAATGAACCCATTAATGAACCCTTAATTAACCTTTAATTAACCCCAGAACAAAGGTGAGTTAATGGAACCCCCCCCATAATCAGCCCTGAATGGTTTGGTCCGAAAACCCCCAGTGATCCCCATTAATGAATCCTCTTTAATTAATTACTGTTAATGAACTCCCTTAATTAATTTCCATTAATGAATCTTCATTAATAAACCCATTAATGAGTGTTAATGAACCCATAATTAACCTTTAATTAATCCCAGAGTGAGGGCGAGTTAATGGAATCCCCCCCCCATCTGCCCAGAATGGTTCAGTCCAGAGACCCCCCCAATGATCCCCATTAATGAACCCTCTTAATTAATTACCATTAATGAATCAGTTTTCATTAATGAATCTCCATTAATGAGCCCATTAATGAGCATTAATTAACCCTGGAATGAGGGTGAATTAATGGAACCCCCCCATAATCAGCCCTGAATGGTTCAGTCCGAAAACCCCCAATTACCCTAATTAATGAGCCCCCTTAATTAATTTCCCTTGATGAGCCCTCTTAATTACTCCCTCAAATTATGCTTTATGTTAATTAATGGCCTTAATTAATTTAATCGATGCTCATTTCCCTAATTATCCCATTAATTAATCCGGTTAATTATCCCCCTTAATTAACCCCATTAATGCCTCCATAAGATCACCGCCCTTAATGAACCTTCCTAATTAATTACTTTGATGACGCCCCCTTAATTATTCTCTCAAATTAAGTGTTAATTAACGGCCTTAATTAATTTACTCGATACTAATTTTCCTAATTAACCTGTTAATTAACCCGTTAATTAACCCCGTTAATGACCCTCCCTCCCTAATTCCCCCTATTAACACCCCCTTAATTACCCCTAATTATGGCCCCTCCCCCTCATTAAATATGCGTTAATTATGTTAATGAGTCTCTAATTAGCGTTAATTAATGAGTCTCTAATTAGCGTTAATTACTGTTAATTGCAGTGGACTCCATCTGCCTGCGCTGGGCCCCCCCGAAGCACAAACAGGCCAAGGTGG